TTCCTCGAGAGAATGGAGTCCGCAATTCTCTTTGCTAGTTAATGTTCGGGACAAACAGAATCAAGCGTGGGCTCTATTATCGCCTTGCTATTTGAAATTCATAACTTCTGTTTCAAACTCTCAGATAAAAGTTTTACATTTTAAACTAGTGAGATCATGAATATGATCTACTCGGAAAACTTTAATATACATAAATAATTGTTTAGTGTATAAATAGCGAATTATAAACTTGTGCAAGAAGACTAAGATTACAATAACATTTAATATAACTACTAGATTGTTACAAAAGTTCTTGTGCATAGGTTTAGATTTGAATATATAGTTAAATTTATGGAAATATTTGAAAGTTTTTAATATTTTGAGCAATGAAGTTATATTCATACCAAATTTATATTTTCTATATCATCTACTATAACGCTGTATATTAATAGAAAAAGAACTAAAACGAGATTAATAACATAAATTTAAATTTTAAATAATAGCTTATTATAAAGTGGACGAAATGTTGAACATTTCTCTCGCTTAAAAAAACGCAGGTTGAACAGGTGGGGAACTGCGGCCCCGCAGGCCGCATGTGGCCTTCGTGACGTAGCTATGGCCTTTAAACGTTTTTACGTGATATTTATTAATCTTTTTTTTTTTTTTTTATTTATTTATGACATTTACAACTGTATTACATAAATACAACAAGTAAATTTGGACATAATTGATATAATGACATGAATACACTTGCTGAGTAACTACCCAATGGTAGCACTCTAATGATATGACTACATTAGGAGATCACGGGGCCATCTTCTTTTCAGACGCCTCGGAGGGTTATCAGGAATTGAAGAGGAAGCAAGGTTAGAAACGAGAGGGTTGGGATGATTCTGAAGTTTATTATGGAAGGATAGGTATCTGGATTGGGCCAGATCTGAAACATAAGGAACATTAAGATCTTTATGGATAATTTTATTAGTGACAAAGTAAGGAGCATTGAGGATTTTACGAAGGATTTTTGATTGTAAGGATTGGATGCGAGAGGAATTCGATGGTTTAGTAGAGCCCCATAGCTCAACTCCGTAAGTCCAAATAGGTCTTATTATAGTCAAGTATATGAGTCTTTTGGAATTAATGGGAAGTTTAGAGCGTTTGTCTAGTAAGTGCTGAAGTAATCGGAAATGTCGATTGGTTTCTTGTCGTTTCAGTCTAGTATGAGGATTCCAAGTCAGTCGTTTGTCCAGGTGGAGTCCTAGGTATCGGATTTTCTCAACAGGGATAAGTGGAGTATTGTTAAAGGAAACTGTAGGACAGGAAGTCGTTGGTTTACGACGAAGGGTAAAGGTAATTTGATGGGATTTATTGGAGTTTATTTTAATCCTCCAGTTTTGACACCATTTTTCAAGACTTGTGATGTGTTAAAAAGTTCCACTCCTATGATATAATATAACCTAGAAATCTGGAAGTTAAAAGCAAAAAGAAGTTACATAATATTTTTTTAAACAAAATATATAATTTTGTTGGCTCCTAAGCACCATTGAAACAAACACAGAAATATTTTTTTGTAGATTAAAAAAAAAATATCGATTGAAATGGGTGACCTATTGACTGTGTCCACTTGTTGGATCCGAGATTTTTTGGAAAGTAATACTACCAAAAGAAATTTCATTTAAAGTTAAAGTTTTAAAATATAAAGCTATTTAAGATTTTTTTTTGGTATACTGAAAAAATATGAATTTTTCCTAATTTATAGGGTAACCAAAAATATGGTTGAAATAGATGACCTATTGATTATGACATTCCATTGCTGGTTATTATATTTTATATATATTTCAACTTTTAATGCATATTTAAGCGTTGAAAAGATGTTTTTTTTTGTTTGTTTTTTTATAGGCTGTAAAATGGAGTTATAGCATTTTTTACTTTACTTTAAAATATTATAGTCATTTTTATTTCCTCTAGTAATGGAACAAGCTATTCCATTTTATCGCGATTAATATCTAGTAATAAAAAGTCATCTTTATTGAAAATACCTCTTCTTCTATGGATATTTCTATTTTTTATGTACTTATTTATATTGCATGCCGTTTGCAACTGCGCGGCAGAGCATCTATTAAATTTGTTCTAGAGGTATTTATTGATAATATATAAGCTTTGTTCTCATGTCTATTTCTAAAAATGAGCATTATTATAAAAAACGATCTTTTATATTTGAGATTTCATATCTTTTTTAATATCCTATTCATTTTTAAGAGATGAGAATCTGACAATATATACATGCATATATATATATATATATATATATATATATATATATATATATATATATATATATATATATATGTACATATACACATAGTCCACAGACTCCATTTTATCAAATTATTAATATTCATCTAAAAATTCGCGAACGGCTTAATCTTATCATAACCAAGATTTTTTTTATTTATGACAATTTCGTGAAAGCTTGAGAACGGTAAATTTTGTCTATTTAAGGAGATTTTTTAGTATCTTAGTAATTGAGGGACACCTTAATTTAAACTTGAATCATAAGATAATTCGATCACAAAATAAAAAAATAAATTTGGCCAACAGAAATATTGGGCCGTTTGACGTGACCTCCACACCTAACAAGTCAAAATAACGAGCTTGCATAGGCCAAACAACCATATATTTCAGGTGTCTTTTTTATGGAATTTGTGATTAAATTACCTTGCGTTGGAGTAGAAAGCAAATGCTTATTCACGGGTTTTTAGTTCCTCACAAAATAAATGAATTTAATGAGAAAACGCCCCTGAATATTTATAATTCCTAAGAAAAATTCCTGAGAATATTTATAGATAAAAAAGTTGGAGTTTTTTTTTTTTTTCGTTAATCAAGAAGTTTAACATATTCAACTTATATTTAAATATCTTTAAATGACCAATACACTATATCATACTTACACTATTAAATCAAAATTATATCTTCTTAAGAATTTCAATAGAATTTAAGAAATAAATATTATGGAATGGGAAGAAAGAGAAGCAAAGGTTGAGAGTGATAGATAAAGAAAGGTCTTTGACCCTATCATTAGTGATTTGACATTAAAAAAAAAAAAAACAATACGTCTTTTCTTTGCCTAATGAACTAAAGTGTCTATTTCGGTTCTGCAAACTTTTACTTTAATTAAGAGGAGGGTATTTGATAGCAGCCAAATGTCTCTACTTGAGGTCCCTATGATCTAGAGAGCAGGAGTTTATATTGTTTATCAAATGTGTTTTTAATCGGTAAGCCCGTATTATCGTTAATTCTTTATCAAATCTCAAGATTAAGCCACCAATTTTGAAGGTTTCTTTCTCCTTCAGGCGGAAAAATATCACACCGAAAATTTAAGAAAAAAAGTTATGAAAGGAAAGAAACTTTATTTTCGAATAATTAAAAATTACAATATTTTACCTTATGCCCATAATTGTGTAAAAGGTTAATAAAGTTCCTACAAAAGGAAAAAAAATCATCGAAATCGGACAATTATTAACAAAAATACAGGTTATTAATTTTGTAAACGTGTTGAAATGCAATGAAAATTTATTTTATTATTCTTGGACTGTTGTGCCTTTAGAACAAATTATAAGTACAGAATGCATGTCTGCTTGGTCATAAATAAATTTCATATTTCCAATAATAGTTAATTAAAAGTAAAAATACAGAAGAAAGAGAGAGAAAAAGAAAAGTTTTTGAATTTTTCGTTCGATCACAATAGTTCATTATTGAAAATAATAAACCAACATACCACATCTTATTGTGTTATTAGTTGGATCCTAAACCAACTGTTGCTCAAACTGAGGTTAACAGCATAAACAAATATGCCAGATTTCTTTAAACTCTGCTGAGTTTATCGCTAACAAAATAACAAAAATAACATTGGACATTGAGTCACCTGCATCCGTGTAAAATTAGAACTTGATCTGAATATTGTAGCGGGCGGGGTGAAATATTTGGAGTTTTTCCCCTGATTTCCGGCTAATCCGTTAATCCTAAAAGTGTATACGACAATATTTGTTAGGCTCGGGACGTGGAATCGAATGACACCTTGAACGGCCAGATAGGACAAAATTGAAAAATGAGTGTGTTTTACCCGTTTTATGTGGCAATGCGTTACAGATGTTCGATAATCCGGATGTTTCCTGTTGAGTTGTGATAATGTCTTATATCAGTTCAATAGTACAACTTTTAAATGTGTCTCACGATAGAGCAGGTTGGGATGGGAATCGAAGTTAGTAATTGCCTAACCGGGATCTCTAGACAAATGACTCAGAATTCATAACTATGGTTCTACGAAATATTTTGTTTTCATTTAAAGCATATATTTTAAGTCAAGCAAACCTAAATGTAATATCAAAATTTCATAAGTCTACCATTAGCCATTGCTGAGCTTACCCCTGACAAAATTTCTTTGGACAGTGCGGATATCCAGGCAGACAAAAATATTTTAAAAGTGGATTTGGTGTCTGTAATGTATAAAACGGAAAGATATCATAAAACGGGTTGATTCTATTCAATGTACAGACAAAACCTTTATTTCATTTATACAGATGTTCTTTTAAACATATGTTTATGATAAACATTTATTATCAACATTAACCAAGATCTCTAGACAAATTACTACAGAATTCATAACTTTGGTTATACTCAATATTTTGTTTTCATTTAAAGCCTATGTTTTAAGTTAAACAAACCATAATATAATGTCAAAATTTCAAAATTCTGCAATAAGCCAATAAGCCCTGACAAAATTTCGTTGCAATGCTGACATAGAGACAAACAATTTTTTAAAAGTGGATTTGATGTCTGCAATGTATGAAACGAAAAGATATCATAAAACAGTTTGATTATATTCAATGTACAGATAAAAACTTTATTTTATTTATATAGATTATGTAATTGAATAACCACTACTTCTGTTGTTTCAAAATTTAACGTACGTATGTGAGTTTGTTAGGTGCAAAAGTGTCCACTCCAAATTTTACTTATTTATATCAGAGCCGAAGTCCCAATTGGAGAAGACAGTTTGACCAAAAGTTTGACAGGTCCGAACTGGGAGCCTCTGAAATAGTGATATTGTGTTCTGTAGACACTGTCCAAACAAGTACAACTTGGAGGCAAACTGACACGAACAGATAGAAAACTTCCGAAAACGGGTTTTCGTCATGAATCAAGAAACACGTCTGTTTCCTGAGAAAATAATTGTGCGTGAGATAAATGATATGGAGCATGATGCTGGACAACAAGAAACAAAAGCAAATAATTTGTTAAAACAAAACAAAAACCTAGTAATTATACTAAAATAAGCATACATTTAGAAAAGAGGCATAAGGTAATTATTTAATAAATGGAAAAATCCAAACAACGAAGCAAAGAGTATCAAAAATAACGGTGAATAGTTAAATTGCCAACGTTTCGCCAATTTAGGCGTCCTTAGGGCAGAAAAATCAAGATCACGTATATGCAGAAAGAAACAAAAAAAAAAAAAAAAAAAAAAAATTGCTGTAGATATATTATCTAAATATTATGTAACTTCCAGTATTTTCTATATCCGTTTGTATCTTGTCCGTTCTAGCCCTGAAGAAGAGCTACAAACGTTGGCTTGAAATAAAATAGTTTTTCCATTATTTTAGTCTCTTTATGACCGCCACCCCGGACCATCTTCCTCTAAAATATATAACGGTCCACCATTAAATATTCAATATTTTTAAAATTGTATCTTGACGGGACGCCGTATTAGAGATGTGAAAAGGAAAAAAAAATGTTTCATCAAAAATTGATTGAAATGTCTCAGAAACTGAAAATCGGGTCTGCACACTGAAGGGAGGTTAAGATGCTTTTATCGTATAAAAATTCAATAATTTTATTAATATGTATAGCCTCTTCTATTTTTTTTACGTTTCACAATATTTAAGATTTTTGTGTTTTCAAAATCGAAACAGTGGGTATTTGCCATGCTATGTTTAGACAAAGCGGATGTATTTATGTTTTAAACATTTTTTTAACCAAACTTTAATTTTACGATGTGGCTAAAGCGCTAGTGCTCAGCCTCCACTGGCTTTACCACCAGTGACGCGTTGAAAGAGTAGCGCAGGGATCTGTATAGCCTCTTGTATAGGGATCTGTAGTGCACTTTTGGAGTCCTGATTTTCCCTCTACAGTTAGAAAAACTAGCCTGGCTTGTGGTTCCCTGCCTGATTGTATATATTGTGTATAGGTATGACTGTGTTATGTATATGTAGGTATGTTTTTAATTTACTTATATTTAGGTTATTTTATTTTTATTGTACATAGTTGTTTCATTATTATTAAGTTATAATTTTACTTTTGTTAATTTTATGTTCTCTGTATATATGGTTTGAATGAGTTCATATCTCACTATAATTATTGTCTACGTGACAGATTATTTCTAAATATTTCTAAATAAATAAAAAAGACATCTCAGGAAGCCATCCAAATACATGCTCTTGGGAAAATCTTGGAATTGGGGTGTTCTCAATCTGGAGTGGGGCAAACTTGGTCTATTTAATTAGGTACTCAAAACTCGTAAATACCCATTTGCTTTCTACTTTAGTCGTAAGATAATTTGATCACAAAATCGAGAAAAAAGGTGGCTTAAAAAAATATAAGGCCGTTTGTCCTATATAACCTCGTTATTTTGAAAAGTTTTGGGGTGTAGGTCACGCCAAACGGCTCAATATTTTTTAAGGCCATCTCTTTTCTCGATTTCGTGATCAAATTATCTTACGATCCAAGTCGAAAGCAAATATGTATTTACGATATTTTAAAACCTAATTAAATAGACAAAGTTTGCACTCCTCAAGATTGAAAACGCCCCAATTCCAAGAGTTTTCGTAAATAAAATAGTTGTAGGTTACGATGAGATGAAACTATTCATGAAGTTTCAGGTGGATGTTAATAATTCGATAAAAAGGGGTTTTAGTAATGTAATTATTAGGTTATGAATTTATTATTTTATTTTATTTTATTTAAAACGTTTTGTATTATTATATTTTAGTTATGCATTTTCTTTTATTTTCTTCTTTGTATTTCTTCTAATAATCTTTTCAATATAACCTTGCTCAGCTGCGTAAATAGAACCTCATATTTCCTTCAGTATATATTTGGATGGCTTCGTAAGATGTCTACAGCATTTTTTTTTTTCTTTTTGTTGTTTCTTTCTACACATACGTGGTCTTGATTCTTCTGCCCTGATGAGACCTGAATTGGTGAAAAGTTGCGATGTTAACTATTCAATTGTTTGTTGTAGACTCACGGCTTTGTAGTTTGGATTTTTACATTTATTAAATAATTACCTGATGTCTCTTTTCTAGATTTATACTTACATAATACATTTATGCTTACATAATACATGAGATGAAACTATTTATGAAGTTTCAGGCGGATGTTAACAATTTGATAAAAAGGGGTCTGTACCACGGACTAATAGCTTGAAAAGTGATGGTGGATTAGGTTACATATATTATTTGTGAAGTAAATGTGTGTCCACTGAGTTTATTAGGTGTCGATGTTATATAAACCTTCGAGCTTTTTTTATTTTGTATTTGTTCTTTTTTGTTTCAAAACACTCAGGTGATACCACCGAATAATTTGAGCTAACAAACTAAAAAATAATCCAGCGTTTCGTTCTAAAAACCGTCACATAGCTTTTAGCTGACGAAACAAACACATAACCAGTGTTACCGCGCGCTCTGTGACAAAACCTCGTACTCAAGCCTCGTACGCTAGCTCATTCATAACGTCCACTGTTATACTGCCAGTGTTATTGTTTTTTTTATAGTAAAATTAGATCAGAATTTTTTATTTTTACCTCCATTACAATTAAAGCCTTTTTACATTACTTTTTTTTAAGTTAATTGTTCAAGCAGTAAAATTAGCTTTATATATTTTATATTAGCTTTATAAAAGTTTATATATTTTTATAAACTACTGAAAACGTTATATAAAAATTAAAATAGCTAAATAAACTTCTTAAAGTACTCTTCATAGTAGTATTCATTAGTAGATCCAAGATTTAATTTGGGGGAAAGACTAATTTTTTTTATTTTTTCTAAAAACAAAACAACTACTTTTATGAAAGGATGTTAGTGGTTCTGGAAGGACAATAAAAATTAATTATGAGGCATTGATGCTTTTAGAGATATCCATTATGATATAAAAAAATAATAGATTGTGATTGTTTCAGTATTTAGCTTACAATTATATTTCGCACAAAATAAATGTGGACCACTAAAAAAATACTTTTTTTTTCATTATTTAAGATGGGTTCATTATGAATACTAATTAATTTTTCAATTAATTACTTTACTCGATTAAAATCGAAAATAATTTTTTTAAATTACGCAAATAATTTAAAAAAAAAATTAATTTATCTAGAATATATTTACAATTGTAGTTTTATGAAGGAAATAATAATTAAGAAGAAAATAATGGATATACTTTCTCGTATTTTATTTTATGCTCGATAAAAATGACGGTAAAAATTTCTGTTTAATTTTCTATTACAAAACATTTTAAAAAATTTATATTTATAAAAAAAGTTTTATGAAGGAAATAATGGATATGGTTTCTTATATTTTATTTTATACTGAATAAAATCTAAAAATTTTTAAAAAAAATTTTTTTCTAGAAAATTAAAAAAAAAACATATATATACAATCATGGTTTTATGAAGGAAATAATAATCATACTCTAATTAAAGAAGATATAATTGCAATTTATATGTCTAGAAAGCAACAGAAGTTCAGTATTTCATATCAATATAAAAATAATACAGTCAAAATAATCGTAAAATATAACCTTGCATTGCATACGTCAGAAAAACTTATGTACGAGGTACGAGGCTGACCTATCCTCGTACTTCGTACATTACGTCATAACCTCGTACAAATACGAGGATCCTCGTACAAATGGCAACACTGCACATAACCCTCGTTTTGCTTCGTATGGTCGGGTTATAATTATTTATAATTTATTTGCAACAAATGTTTTCTTTACCAAGAAATATAACCTGTATATATATCCAATCTAAAATTGCGTTTTGTTTATTAACTTAAGGTTGAGATGAAAATGCTTTGTTTTGTAGCAGAAGAAAATTTCATTTCTCGGCTTTCATCTATTCGTTTGGAGGCTAACCCCGTTAGCGGTCTCGCACTATCCGGGTTTTCTTTTCGCTGGAGAGCGATGATCGTTTTGATTGGATCAACCCTCGGGCTACGGATCCCTTCTTTCAATTTCATCTTCTCGGTCTTTCTTTCTATTGCTTCTTTCATCTATTCCTTCCTCTGGCTTAAGAATGTATAAACATTAAGCTCATTGCTTCGCTTTTGTTTTTAGTTTATTTTGAGAAATAAACACAACCAAAATGTTACCCATATGTAAGTATAAAACTATGCGAAATTTTGTTGATTTCGCTTCCCCATATATGAAATATATCGTCAGTTTATTGACAAAAAGTCACGTCAAGTTCAATTTGTATCTAAAGATATGTAGTTGTTAATTTCGATAATATTTATCGATACAATAACTCATTAAGTGGATACAAATAATACAAATCATTTTATACTTAAAAAAAAAATTTCATTAATCGCATGATGATCTGACTTTACAGAGCAAAAATTTACTATCTGATACTTAATGACTTATTTCACTGGATTAATTGATCTGATGTTTAATAAAATTATGTGAGCTATACCCATGGTCAGTAAAACTACCAGGTTCGCTCACTCAGAAATGCGTGGTGGGGGAACTTGTATTGTGACGTAGCCACTAGACTAACCTTCCTATTGTTCTTTCAAGCCTATCATTGGAGGTTTATTTGAATATTAATGTGTCTTTTTTTAGTTTTACTGGGGTAATTTATTGAAAAGAATATTTTTCTGTGTGCTTGATGTTTAATTGAAGATATTTTTAAGCAGGTAAATCAATAAATACGACAAAAAACCTAGAATAAAATATCAAATCAACCTTTCTCTCACCTTTCAAATTTATTAAAATTAATAAATTAATAAGTTATTTGGCAACACATTATTGATTTAATGTAGAAAAGTAAACAATAATCTTAAAATGTCCAGAAACTAAGGCCGGAGGGGTAAACTTAGTCTTTTGGCTACATCACAGCTCAATTCCTCGCCGCCATTTTCCCTCTGAGTGAGCGAACCTGGTAGTTTTACTGACCTTGAGCTATACCTAACTCACATTCTATGTATTTGCAAGGTTATAAAACTAAGTAAGTCTTTTGTTTAGATATGATAGTATGCAAAAAGTCACTATGTGCGGCGTAGTTTCAGTTTTTTCATTGTTATGTATAAGTATTTTAATTAATTGTCAGAAATATAATACATTATTAGAATTGAAAATAAATGGTCAAATTGCTATTTTAGTTTTTTTTTAAATGAAAACTTCTTTAGCCGCGTTTTGTACTTATTTTTGTGTATAGTCAGCTGGAGTCGACTAATTGAAATGTTTTGACATTTGGATTAAAATATCTCAAAAACTAAAAATCGAACCTGTTTATTGTTAGCAAGGGAAATTTTTATCATTTCATCCTATTTGTAATGAGCAATTATTCAAAATTATATCTTAATGTGACGCCGCACAATGGTCTGAGAGCGGCGAAAACTCCTATTTTTGAGAGGTTGATTTGCTCTTCTTCTCTTACCACTTGTTCTCTTGTCTAGTAATGTAGGCAATAAATATTTATAATTGATTTTGTAAATAACCTTATACAATGAATTTTTACAACATATTACATGCAAAATATATTTTACTTATATTTGAAAAAATAACAATAACAATAACGGTTGGTCTTACCAAAATAGTTTTATTGTATATTAATTCATAATGCCCGACATCTTATAATAAATTCAGTTTTTCAAGTATCTTACTTAAATTGAAAGTTTCCCAGGACTTTTACTGTTTTTATGCGTTTTCCGACCTATGTACGCCGTGTTAGTGAGGCGAAAAGAGAAAATAGAGTCGAAAACCAAATGATAACGACTTTTATGAAAGGTATGGATTAAAATATCTCAGAAACTAAACATTTGATTTGCATACTGTAAGCGAGCGAAATGCTCAGCATTTCATCCCATTTATAACGAGCTATTATTTATGATTTATATTTCATATAAGTAATCTCGCTTTTTTGATGTTTTCACTTCTATCGTGTGGCCTAAAGCACACATCTTAGTTTATTAAATGAATCATAAACTTCAAATTCGACTATCTCAAATTCATTAAAATGTTACTTAATGACTTTTTGCAATAAACGATGATATATTAAGAGATATTGTGATCATGAAAAACTCAAATCGAAATTTTATTTTAATGATCAAAAATCATTACCCGTGTTTTGGGTTGTTCGCTAAAGGCTAAGTAGCACTTTTTTGAGCAAATAATCGGATCGATTTTTAAGTTTGATGGTTCAAATTTAAAAAAATAAAATGTGTTTAGTCAATTTTCAAAAAGTTATGTAACGGTTTTTTAAGCGAGTCGTTCATTTTTCAGTTTTATGGCTCAAATTATTCAGTGAGATTCTCTTAGAGTTGTCAAACAATTTGTGCTAAAAATACTGATCCGTGATTAAATAAAATGTGTTTAATTTATCTGTTAAAATGTACACAACGATTTTTTGAGCATGTGAGGACCAATTTTTAAGTTTGATATTTTAATTTATTTTATTAGATTCCCTGAGTGTTTTGAAGGAATATGTCCTAAAAACACTGAATCGTGATTGAATAAAATGTGTTTTATCAATCTGCTAAAAGCAATGTAACGATTTTTCGAGCAGGGGGCTGGAGCGATCTTTAAGTTGGATATCTTAAATTATTCGAAGAGATTCTCTTCGTGTTTGAGAGTGTTTTTAAAGAATTGAAGCTGAAAATTCTGGAAAATTACTGTGTAAAGTGTGTTCAATCAAATGGTAACATTACAGTGACTGACGAATATAGAATGCGAATTATTCCAACGTTGAAACAAGTCTTTCTAAACATATTTTATATAATCTGATGGCGCTTACCTTGTGTTCATCACATGATCTTCGTGGTTGCCCCTGTTGAGGTAGACACCATCAGGGAAGACGAGGAAGCAGGTTAGGAGAAGCAGGAAGACTTCCATACCCTTCCTGCCCCGGTCGACGAAATCCCCGTTGAAGACATAAGGGTTTTCTGCCGAAGGAAGACCATTCTGCAAAATAACGTGTATCATCAAAATAGAAGAATGAAGATATTGTGTGAAATCTATAGTAAAACTTAATGTTTTGAAAAATATTTATATCTGTGGCATTTGTGCATAATGTGTTAAGTGCAAAAACCATATTTTTGGAAAAACACTATTGAAAGTTTGGAATTTTCATACACTGGCTCAGAGTCAAAATGATATATAGTGACATTAATACAAATTATTTAATAAGTTCAATTTATATTGCATTAAAAACAATAATTTATTGTAATCTTTAAATATCCTAGTAAAGTCTTATTTTTCTATGTTCTTTTTCTTGTTCTTATTCTTATATGTTATGTTTCTTGGTGTGGGAACGTATGGCGGCGAATAAACATGTCCACATATTTTGAGAAGAAACTTTGGGCTGAAAAACAAAATTTAGTTTTTATCAGGATAATGATGTGCCATGTGCCATGTTAATTAGGAAATGGTTACTTTATAACTGCCCCTTATTTTAAAACATTACCACAGTCACCAGATCATGATGTGATAAAACACCTGTGGACCAAGTTGGAATTAAAAAAAAAGAAGAAAACACGAAATTTCTAGCAAAGGAAACTTTAAAAAATATCTGCTCGATTAACCCCGGAATTAACCAAATAATTAGTCGACTCCATTACAAACAGACTGAAAGGAGTGGTTGAAAATAATGGTTCGCCTACAAGGTTTTTATCTAAATTAAGATAGGATACAAATAAATACATACATACACACACATTATATATATATATATGTATGTATTTAGTTCTTCATCACATAAATCATTTTGTGTTCAACTTTCCACTTGAGCTTCTCTCGATTATTCTGGATTTCTGAATTTTTGTATTTTACTATATATTCCATCATAATTTCATTAAAAAGATAATGAGAATGCCTCAATCGGGCTAGAAAAGTTTTTGGCTTCTCTTCTAGAGTTTGAATTTGATGAACAATATTACGTTGTGGTGTTCAAGCCGTCTTTTTTTTTTCAGTGACTTTAGAAGACCAACTACTGGTTGACTGGTTTTCGGTATAATAACATATTTTTATGCTCCATCAGGTTTTGTTCTTTACTAGCAGCTATTTCAGGGGAAGCAATTGAAGAAGATGAGGGTAATCGTTTTGCATGGTTTCTAGGACGAGAAATTTCAATTTCACTTTCGTTAAAAATTTGATGGTTATGGAAAGTTCGCTACAAGTGACTTCATTATCGCAATCATCATAGAGTTGTTTCAAAATTTTGAGTAACGATTTAATAAACGTAATGTAAAAATTACAATGGTTTGTACTCTAGGATTAAATCCGTTAACGAACTTGAGTTGTAATTGTTAGAGTTAAGATGGGGTTAAAGATTCATTATTGTTACTTTTCCTCGCATTTTCGAAATTTCCTCAAATCAAGTATCTTATTTTTTCTCTTCAAATCTTAATCCGCACCAGTCAAGAATTTGATAATAATAGAATTTCATATAATACAGTTGTAAATGTCATAAATAAAATTTATAAAAATAAAAATTACTTGTGTACAAGAAACTAATTATGTGAAAGTTATGTTATCCATCACACCAGATTTTTAATTTTATTATGCATCTAAATTCATATTATTAAAATGATTTAGCATAAGTATAAAACTGAATTTGTATTGATTAAAAAATAAATAAAAACAATCGGTGTAATTAGTTATATTTCAATACAGAAAGTAATCAAGTTGAATAGAGATGAGATTAAAATAAGGTCCTTCCCAGTAAGGACTCTGTTGTGGTGCTCACATCGTAGCCACGATATTAAACCTCAGCCAGGACAAGTATACCGTTAGATGTCACTTCTTCTATTTTCCTTCCCTTTGTGTCTTTGCTAGGTGGACTATATATGTTTTAGAACAAATTGAAAGAGACGCCATTTCTTAAAATTAAAATATGTTTTCTAATAATAATTCAGCCAACAAATGACAAAATAATGAGAAAATAAAATACAATGCAAAGTACCATAATGGAGTCGATCGGTATGACAGTATGACAGATTCTCTAACCACACTATGTGCGTCAGTGGTTGTAGCGAGCGCTTTTGCTCAGCCTCCATTGGTACTCCAGTAATAGCCTCCGTTAATACCACTGACGCGGATGAGAGAGAAGCGTTGAGATTTGCTAGAGTTCTGCTTTTCCGTCCACATATGAGGGCAAAAGCTCGGCTTGGATTCCTCCGGAATGGATGAATGTCTTTAAATATTGTATATAATTATGCCTATACTTAAGTTATTTTGAATAGTTTAAGTTTATTTTTTTTTATGTATATTTATTTTTAGTATTATTATATTGCTGTTGTTTTATTTAATTTACTTATATTTATTGTACATAGTGTGTAAATGAGCTACTACTTCACTATTACTAATGTCCTGTGACAAAAAGTAGTATTATTCAATAAAGAAATATTTTTATAAAAATTATCTATAATTGTTAATGACCAAGGAAAAGAAAATTATTTTAAAACTTCATTCATGTTTTAAACCAATACGTTACGATAAGCTACATCTTTGCTAATAATAGTCCGATTTCGATAATTTCCATTTTGGTTTTGAAGTGAATTCAGTAGTATTTTAATTTTTATTTATAAAATATTTTTTTTTATTTAATATATTTCTGATTGCAAATAAAGTTTCTTTTCCTTCATAATTTTTCTCCCTTAAATTACAGAAGAAAATCATCAAAATGAGGACTGTCATTAGATTTTATGATTAATTAACAAAAATATGGCTTACCGAAAAAAAGCACCTTTGAAAATTAATACAATTAAATTAATAAAATAAATAAATTTTTATTTTAAAACAAAATTCAAAGGATATCTGGAATATCCTAAATGTCCGAAATTAAGAAAATTAAAAAAAAATTGAGATTATCTTGCAGTTTGTAAAATAATCATGAAATGTCTTGTAAATAAATAAATTTTCATTTATTATTTTTTTTTTTTTTGAGAAACGCATTTCTTCAGTGATATTACATTTGGTCACATTTGAGGACATTAGTAGTGACTCATTCACACTCTATGTACAATAATTATATATAATTTTAACAACATGATAATAATACTAAAAGTAAATGTATATAAACAAAAACAATCAAAATAACAACTTAGGTACAAGCATAGGTTTTTACAAAGTTAATTCACTCAAGAGTACTCCAAGCTAATTCTTTCTCTTAGTGTTGCCCAAATGCGAGACCGGGAGTCATGGTCTTGCAAACTCAGTCTTGGTCTTGGTCTTGCGCAAGAATCTCACAACAATCTTGCAGTTACTTATTAGTTTATGAATATAGCGATATTACTGTAAGTTTTTAGATAGGAGAAACCTAACTAAGCCCGGATGAAAAACTAGAGGAGTTAAATGCAAAAGTATATTGGTTATACCAATTATTAACATATAGTAATTAAGATTGTCGAGTATTAGTAACTATTTTGCCTTAATTTTTATTTAAAAAATCGATTTTTTTTACCAGTCCTGGTCTTCGTCTTGTGACAGTTAGGCGGCCTTGGTCTTGTAAAGTGCAAGGCCAAGACCGATTTTGGGTAACACTACTTTCTCTCCACTCGTAGGAAAAGATATGATTCTAGGAGATCCCAAAAATATAAGGCAAAATATTTTTTCAAACTGAAGCAAGGAAAAATTCATGTTATTGAGTTTTCAAAAAACAGATAATTATTTGTTCTGTTTTACTGCCATGATTCGTCACTGGAAAAAAGAAAAATCTGGCAGTAGAGATTAATACCAGTCAAATCACCTCCTTCCGCTCAAGACTCTTCATCAGTCTTAATGGTACAGACTTTTTTTAAATTTATAAAAGATTCTAAAACAGTATAGATGTTGGCTCTATTTTTACTTTCCTACCTATAATAAGTAAGGAAAGTAATGCAATCGGTACGAATTTCTGATATGCGGTTTTCGACGGCTCTATACTTTTCAGAGTCCGAAAAACACATTTTAGTCATTGGTCTGTCTGCCTGTACCAAGATTTTCTCAGAAACTAGTGGACCGATTTTGTTGTTTCTTTTTTTATTTTGTAGGGTTTTGACTATTCATGCCTGTGAAATAAATTGGGGGCTCCATGCGCAATAGCTGCTGTGCAATAAATGAAAAACATGTTTTTCTATAGACCATAAAAACGGCTGTAACGATTTTGATGAAACTTTCCTATAATGTTCTAATAATTTTCCTCTCCATTTTCGTAAAACTATATAAAAACCGTTTATTTCGGACAACTATTAATGAAGTTACAACTATTCAATTTCCAATGTATGATTACGGGTTCATATCTTGGTGCCAGAAAGGGGTGAATGAGAGAAATAAGATAACTAAGTGAAGGTAAGAAAATCTTATGTCCGCATCATACAAGCTTCACTATTTCCAGTACTTTTAACAGAAATTATTGTTTAACAAAATTAGGCTATTGCAAAAAGTTTTTGCTCAGCAATATTAGAGTGTATTGAATTTTTGACACTGATCCACCTTAAGACGGTTTACTTTGCTTTAGTTTATCAAATAAATCGTACTCATTATCTTTTGTTTGATCAATTTTCAGGAAAATAAATTTAATTAATTTTTTTTTGTATCTTGATGGACATATGTAAAGATATAAAAACTTTTCTGAAAAAGATAGGAAAATCGTGTGAGTGGACACACCAGATTTTTATATTACTCGATATTTTTCGAAAAAAATGGTGCCTGTTAATGAAATATACTAACATTTTAAAAAATTGTTATTCTTATAATAAACAAAAAAAGTTAGCCTTTCCCAAATTAAATCTTTTATCGATATTAAATCACTACTGACCAGCAAAATGAAATATCGATAGCATGTTAATTGAAAACAAAATGCTTCTGGAATAGTCAAATAATCTAATTAACACTTCTTAGGGATGGTATAAGGACTAAGCATCGCTATTAGGGAAAAACTGAAGACTCTTATCCTAACCTATAGGGTCCGGCCAAACAACCTAATGGTGAAATAATATTTGATGTTAGCCTTCCATTGATTTCTGGCCCACTCCAACAAGGTTCCAAATCCTCTCCGACCCCTACCCTTTCAACAATCCTCATCCATCTCGATCTTCCCCAGGCATCACATACCCAAAATGGGTTTCCTTAAAACCATTTCATGACCGACATCTTCCTCAACAAAACAGGAACCAGGGATAAGGATTATGTTAATATAATTAAGGTAAAGATTAATCAATTTTAATAATTTAATTAAAATAAAGAATTTTGAACATGGTAAATTTTAAATTTAATTTGGTAATAGTCCAAATATGTCTATTCTCGGGAACGATTTCTCTTCTACATAAATAATTATGTAACAGAATTTTTTATTTTTATTTCTTAATGATATTTACAACTGTATTAAAGAAATAAATTTAGTAAATTTGAGAATATGGATATAATTACGTGAAAACACTTGTTGAGAAACTACCCAATAGTAGCACTAATAATATGTCTACATCAGCAGATCACAGGGCCTTCATTTCAGACGCCTCGGAGGATTATCAGGAATTGAAGAGGAAGCAAGGTTAGAAACGAGAGGGTTGGGATGATTCTGAAGTTTATCATGGAAGGATAGGTATATGGATTGAGCCAGATCTGAAACATAAGTAACATTAAGGTCATTATGGAGGGTTTTATTTGTAATAAAGTAGGGAACATTGAGGGTTTTATGAAGGATTTGGTTTGTAAGGACTGGATACGAGAGAAATTCGATGGTTTAGTGGAGCCCAAAAGCACAACTCCAATAGACAAAGTCCAAATAGACCTTATAATCATGTATATGAGTATTTTGTAATTAATTGGAAGTTTAGAGCGTGGTTCTAGTTAGTGCTGAAGTAATTGGAAACGTCGAGCGGTTTCTTGTCGTTTCAGTCTGGTATGAGGATTCCAAGTTAGATATTTGTCAAGGTGGAGTCCAAGGTAGCGGATTTGTTTAACAAAGATAAGTGGAGTATTAACAGAAATTAATTTTGTTACGTAAAAAGTGTTTTTTTACTTATTTACAATCACTTTCAGATTGTAAAATATAAATGGGTTTTCGGAGTGAATTCCAGGAACGAGACGAGCATAGACTACAATAATAAATATGAATTATAAAAAAGACAAAATAAAATAGTAATCCTCCAGAAATTTGATATCAATACACATTTTTTTTTTTGTAAATAACTTCATTAAAAAATCTAATAAAATAAAATCGTTATATCCCCGCTGTTCCCTACATCGCATTAAATCCAGAACCCTAATAAATAAATTCCATATCGAAGGCTTTATTCTTCTTCAGTTGAGAAGCAGGCTACAGTCCAATAAGGAAAATCTGGCATTCTTCTTCACTCTGGCATTTTCAGCCTTGTGATTAAATTTATCATTCCAATAAAGACTGTTTGAATAATCAGATATGAGAATGATTGGCATCCATTTTAGATCAATAAATATTACTGCGTGTGTGAAAGAATCATATTCTTCTTAAACTGAATGCTATATATATATATATATATATATATATATATATATATATATATATATATATATATATATATATATATATATATATATTTAAACCAGTCTCTGAATTTCATTGGCAACAATAAATGGCAAAAATGTATGTTGTTTTTTTAACTGTTCGATTCAAAGAGATTTCCAAACACATTTGTAATTATGATGCATCATAACTCATTTAATACAAAAGTAAGTATTTTTTTCTTATTTCACATAAAAAAAAAGAAGATATAGGTTGACATATTGCAACCTGAACATCCTGGCAAAGCAAAGGCGAAAATGAATAATATAAATTTTGTCAAAATTATATAAAATATTATCGGTTTCTATGGTATCGAGATATGTGTCCAATATTTTTCAATTCAGTATAACCTCACTGAATTTACAAGATCACTTATTAAACTTACAAAACTTTGGAAAACAAGATTAAATCATGACAAATGACAACGCATAACATTTACACTTCCAGGAGACACATGTCCACCAGTTTATATCGACGACAACCAAATTCCTCAGACGAACAAAGTTCGCTTTCTCGGACTTATATTCGACAGAAGAATGGCCTGGGGCCCACATGTCAAAATGAAACGAAAGAATTTAAACATGTGACTGAAAATGCTCTACTCTTTTTTCCCAAATCGAAATTGCAAAACAGACAAAAACTAAATACATACACACACCAACTTAAACCTATTTGGACATACACCTCAGAGATATACTGTTCAGAAAAAAATACTCACTTACAAAAACTATAATCTTTCAAGTACAAAATTTTACGACTGATAACAGCAGCTCTCTGATACGTAAACATCAAAATTTTACTTACAACAGCCAACGGTTTCATTTTAAACTACAAGGAAATAACAACAAAATCATAACCGACATGGCCACCCTTGACATTCCCATTAGGAGGAGAATGAAGAAGAGCTGGATGAGAGATCTCCTTCCCTGATTTACGGAAGCAAATAAATACCAGGAAAAGGTGCAGCTGGGTGCTATCCTTCCTCGTGCCTTCATGCCACTAGAAAACTGTCATAAAATCTGCTGATTGTCACGGCATGTGAAATGAAGGCATGAAGAGAAAAAAAAAGTATAATCTAAAAAAAAATGGTTGAAATCGGTGACCCTCTGACTGTACTCACCCCTTGTAAACTTCTATCTCTGCCGGTACTCCATTATGCTTTGACACCGTCCAAATTTGTATAATTTTTTTTTTTTTAACACGATCTTGGAAAATTTCTAACATGTTTCTGTTATCGAGAGGCTTGTATATTTTATGAGCCCAAGACAATACTCAAATACAGTAGAATTTTAATTATTTGAAAATTTTTAAGTTTTTCATAATGCAAGTTAATATATATATATGTATTGTGAAAAAAAAATCATACATAGTTTTTTTCCTTAATAGTTTTAAATATACATAAATATATAATAGGATGTGATAATACCTTGTGGAATATAATAAGCAAGTCGTCGAGCTTGCCATGAAGATCGCCGCAGACGGTGACTTGCTTGGATATGGCAGTGCTCACCTGGTTCAAGTTGGGCAACTTCTTCAGCTGTTGGCAAGCGTTCTTCAGGATCCCAGCCACGTACTTAGCGTGGAGCCGATGTTGCTGCGAACAAAAAAAAAAAATATACGTATATATTTATCAATAGTATTTTATGAATTGCTTCGTAAGATTTGTAATTGGAACCCCGAGACGCTCCCGTGTCTCCCACCACTACACTGAGTTAGGATGGCTCTTCCCCTCCTTAAGAAGACAATATTTCCTTGGCACTTTCCTTTATCAAATCATTACCGATCATCGTCCTTCTTATGCCTACAACCTTCTCCAATTTAAGTCCTCAATCCATTCTCTCACTACAAGATCCCGACCCTCTGACCTATATATCCCTTCTCATAGATCTGCCTCATTCCAAAATTCCTTTATAGCCCGCTCTGTCAACTTTTGGAATTCCCTCCCGATCAAAATTCGACATGCCCCTTCCCTGTATACATTCAAAAACCTCCTATTCCAATTCCTGTTCCAAAAACAGTCTGATACCAGCTAACTATTGATATTATATATGTATTGTGTAGCAATCATATAATCATAACACTTGGTAATAGATAGTACATGCATTTCCTACTATCGACGTAAGAATTTCAATACATACATTTTTTTTTATATATATTTTTTTTTTATTCAATTATAAGTAACTGTTTATTTTTATATATATATTCAAGTAAAGTTTTTTTTTTTTTTTTATGAAATGAACTCACTGTATCTCTTTTTCGTTCTTCATTTCTCAAAGTGAATGTTTATGTTGTTCAACCCTTAAATATAATTTTGTTCATAGTTCAAGTGATTCGTTCATAGTTTTAATTGTTTTGTTCATAATTTTAAATGCTCTGTGCATAGTTTTATCTGTTTGTATATAGCTTGTGCACCTAAGATTTTCTTTACTTTTTATTTTATTTTATCAATTTTATTTATTGTTTCAACGTTCAGGCCAGTAATATTATATTATTTTGTACATTATTGTTATTCTGAAGGGACTTAGTCCCAGAATAAAGTTTTTTTTTCTATCTATCTATCTATCTAAATAAAAACCAAACCATAAGTTGCTAAGATGTTTGTATCTTAAGATCAAATTTTGAAATCGAAAATTATTTTTTACACAAAATAATGTAATAATTATATTACATCATCGTGTCTGATATATAAATAAAATTTAGATCGATCTTTGATGTTTTTTTGATTCGATTAATAATAATAATAATAAAAATCATCTTGTAATACACAAATTAAATTAAATATTACTACATTTTACAATATTATACTTCTGAAATCGCTTTAATTGTTCACGCGGCACCTGCGCTATATGTATATATATATATATATATATATATATATATATATATATATATATATATATATATTTTTTTTTTTTTGTAATAAAAAATGTCTAATGAATTTCGATAAATATGACATGTTGCTAATAGTTGACAACCATATTCTCCACCTACTATTCCAGACACATCATAGAGATTATAAAAAATAAAAATATTTCTGATATTAAAAAGTATTATTCGAGAATTACTATTATTAATCCGTGAGCCCTTTTTATCGAATTATTAACATCAGCCTGAAACTTCGTAAATAGTTTCATCTCATCGTAATTCGAATCGAAACAACTATTTTATTTACGAAAACTCCTAGAATGGGTCGTTTTCAATCTGGAGGGGGACAAACTTTATCTATTTAATTATTTACAAAAAACTCGTTAATACCCATTTGCTTTCTACTTGGATCATAAGATAAATTGATCACAAAACCGATACAAAAGGTGGCCTACAAACATAACGGGCCGTTTGTTCTATATAACATTGTTATTTTGAAAATTCGGGGGTATAGGACACGCCAAACGGCTCAATATGTTTTAAGCCACCTTTTTTCTCGACTTTCTGATCAAATTGTCTTACGATCCAGGTAGAAAGCAAATGTGTATTTACGAGTTTTTATTACCTAATTAAATATAAGTAAGTAATAAGTTTGCCACCCTCCAGATTAAAAAAGCCCCAATGCCAAGAGTTTTTGTAAATAAAATCGTTGTAGGTTGGCATGAGATGAACTATTTACGCAGTTTCAGGCGGATGTTAATAATTCGATAAAAAGGAGTCTTTACCACAGACTATATTGTTAATTGCATAAAAACTATTAAAAAAAATAATGATCTGATAATTTTTATCACTTATGATAAAAAATAAAATTAATAAAAATCATTAAATGATTTAAAAAAATTTCACGTAAAAATTTTGATCAGATTTGTTTTTAATTATTGATTTTAAACTCTGCTTAAGACAATATTTGGAAGGAATCCAATTTTTTCAAGTTTATGAACCTCGTATGTTAAAAGTTTCAATAATTTGTCCTCAATAAAGGCTGTAGAATTAAAAAAAAGTTTTTATTTAATAATATATTAATTTTTTAAAGATTTTTTGGATTAATTTTTATTCATTACTTTTTGGAAATTTTCAAGATATCTCAAATCTCGATATTCTTTTAGGGTCCTACGAGGCCAATTTTGTTCGCCTCTGCCAATAAATCGACTAATAGCTCTGATGTATATAAGATAACCTTGAGGTTTTCATTTCTACAGGATTATATATTGTTCATAGAAATATCGAAATATCTTTCGGAAACGATATCAATGTTTTTTCAGTTCAGCGGAACTGCGTTTAAGCCCTTCAAATCTATCGCTTTCAGGTCAATGTATCGGAGAGAATTCGCCAGACCAGCTCACCTTAATTAAAGCGTCGCCATATCCTGGATTAGCTACCTATGAATGAGGGAGGAGGTTAATCGTATTATTTCTTATTAATTAATTTTAAGATGAGCTCTGTTTACAATTTGATTAGCCTTCTAATCAAAACCTGAAATATTCCTGAAGATATGTATTTTATCTTTTTTTTTTTGCAAGTGTACTGTATATTTCTGAATACTTATTAAATACAATTATAGGCGCAGACTACAGAGGGCGCATCGCTCACCATTTCCCCTCCCCTCAAAAAATTTGTTTGAGAGTGTCTATTCAACCATCATTTCCAAGACCATTTTCTACTTCAGTGCCGAAAATAAGCACCTCCCTTAATAAAAGTAGGAAAAACTTATTAAGTAATAATAATATTATTTGCGCATAACTCAAACATTACACAGTATTTAAATTTAATATAATTTTACTGAACTTTTTGTTTATTGATAAATATTACAATCTGTCTCAATAAAGGACATTCACACCTTATTTACAAATTCAAAAAAATAAAAATAAATAAGGTAATTTCAAAATAAAATAAATCTAAATAAGAACAATATAAAATATCATAGTGAAGGAGGAAAATATAAATGCTAGTAATAATAGAATAAAAATAAATGAATATAATAGATTTAAAGTTATCTTAAAAAAAAAAAATAAATAAATAAAAATAAACATCTTAGACGCAGGCATACCTATTTACACTATTTACAGTCGCCCATGGAAACTCCGAACCACACTTGTACCCCCACATGTGGAGGGGAAGCGAGGCTTAAGGAGATCCCTGCGCTTCTTCCTCAACCACTTCACTGGTATTAAAAGCCAGCGGAGATTGAGTAAGGGCGCTACAACCACAGACAAAATAATATAATTTTACAGACCGATTTAATAAATATTAATATAATATTGAAAGTTAGACAAAAAAACCTACAAACTCAGTCATCTCCTTACAACCCAAAAACTAAGCCTCAGATTAAAATTACTCATTTACAAAGTATTCTTCGCCCTTCTCTTCTCTATAGTACTGTCCCAGAAATCAGAAGACACAAGCAAGAGACTTCAGCAATTCCATAATGGAATTTTAAAAAGAATATCTAAAACCATACTCTTTGAAAAAGAGAAGTTAAATAAAAATCATGCTTTATTAAATGTTCTCAAAGTAAATGAATTTTTCGATAAAAGAATAATACAGTTTTACGATTCTCTACAATATTTAACTTATAGTGAATTTAATACCCTTACGTTTCCGGCATCTTGGTGATGGATATACACACATAGATGTAAGGCAGATTTTAGTTTGTTTTAGAACAAAATGATCAAGATAGAGGCGAGTCTTAACATCTTGATTAATAGTAAAGAAATCAGGATTAAATAGAACTAATGAATGCTTAGAAAAACCTTCAAATGCATCTCACATACAGTACAAGCAATATATAACAGCATTTATGAATAGGCAGGAACAAAACATCTAAGAAATTGTGAATACGAAAAAAAAAATGATTCCCTATCATATGTCAAATAAGTTTCGTTTTGTCAAATTAAAATTTTTTAAAAAATTTAAATACGAGGTATTTTTATAAACCTAACCTTATCTTTTATTTTTAAATTATAAATATCGTTTATTGGTTACTTCTTCTTGCAAATGAATCTAATGCTAAGGATAAAATCTTTCCAAAGAATTTTTTTTTAGCAATATCTTTTTTGAAGACCTATCTCCAAAAAAGTTATTTTGTCTGTTTTTATTTATATTTTTTTAAATTATTGATGAAATGTGCATAGTGGCAATTTATATTTTTAGTGTATCTCTTAAAGTTGATTATTTTTTCTATACTTCAATTATTTGTCTCTACCCACTAGAGGCATTGGCATGACTCTCCTCACTAATATCTCTCAAGGGTGCCCACAAAGGGTTTTCATGGCGCATTTCATCAAGTTGCGCCATCAAGATTTTTGAGGAAGAGGGGCACATTTTGACGGTTTTTTTTTTAATTTTGGAGAGGGCGAATTTCGGCAGGGTTATGAATTTTCAAAATGAAAAGTTTCAAACCAGAGAACAAGAGGAAAACAAATAACTGACCAGTAAAAGTGTCACTACATTTGACCTATTATTTTTAAAACTCTACTTCAGTTTGTACTGTTTTTAAGAAGATGAGAGTAACCGAATATCTTGAAAAGTTTGGGGAGGGGAAAGGGGAGGTTCAAGCGCCTTCCACCTTGGAGGGGATGGGCGCCCCTGACACCTCTCATATTTTATTGTAAAATTTAATAATTCTCAAGAAATCAATCAGGATCTCCACTTCTTTCTCTGCATCCTGCA